TGAAAGGTGTATGGCTAGATCTCTTTTTGCTTCTGATCTGCATTCTGTTTTGCTTCAGCTACAGTGATTTGCAAGGAAAGCCCAGGCAGAGAACTTTGAATTGGCATTTAGTATGGCATTAAGGACCATCTTTTTGGAAGGCAAGTTCACAGGAGATAAGCTGGAGTAGTTACTGCTGCTTTTTTTGGAAACAGTCTATTCTTGCTGGAAAGATAAGAGAGAAAAAAGGCAAATAGAAATGATACAAAATGCTACTTCCATTTCTGCTGCTGAGTGTCTTGGCAGTCTTGGCATGGGGAAAAGGCTGAGTACAGTCTTATCAGTCACTCAAAGACTTGGTAAATTAGGACAGCATAAAGCTATTTATGTCTGTTTTTAGCTATTTTTTTCAGTTACAAGCTCACTGAAAAGTTGCCAGGGAAATGCTGTTGATGGCTGGCTGGGCTTCTTTAAACAAAACAAGAAAAGGGAGTTAGGAAGAAGTGGAAGAGCTTTTCCTTTCATTTTTGCTCAGAGCTAGGACCAGTATTCATTGCCCTGAGATCCTCTTGTTCCTGAGATGTGAAGTCATGAAATTTCTGGGGCTAATTCAGTTCCTGTGTGGACTTATCCCAATCTTTAGGTTTTACTTTAATTTTTGTTCTTGTAAACAATGGGGTGTAACAGACTCAGTTTCATGGGTTTCCATAACTGTCTGTGTATGTTAACATCAGGGAGGGAACAGGACAAAGTATATTTGGGTCTAGCCTATACACAGAGCAAATACAAGTTTTGGAAGCAACCCCAGATGTGCAATCACTTCGATGCAGGTGCAAGCTCATTTACTAACTCTCCATCACTGAAGCAAAGGTCAGGCCTGAACTCAGTGTCAAACTCTGAGGAGGACACTTAGCAAAACCCATCTTGTGCCATCACTGCACAGTCCATCCATTTGTTTGACATGATTATAGTGCTGGCAAGAGTCTCAGCCTTAGGTACTGAAGCTGAATGAGGCCTCTCACGAGGAGTTTTCTCTTGACATCTTCTGTCCTTCCATAGAATCTGTAGCCAGGAGATACGTTGCAAGATTTAATCCATTAAAGAGACGTCCATCTTAGAGGATATTTAGTCCTGTCCATATGTAGTTGTATTGATCTGACCTGTTGTCTGAAGCTGGCAAATGAGACTTGCCTACCCAATCTGGATCAAGTGGGTTTCATGAAGGTGGACAGAGAGTTTGTCCCATTGAGCATCTTCTGGCAGGTGGCTGCCATGTGACAAAGGAAACCTTTCAATAACCATTAGAATAGCTTTTTCCTTAGTCCCCCCTCCCCTGCTTTTATTAAATCACTGCTATTAGGAGTCAATCACCAAAATCCATTGTAATTACAGCCACAAAAATTTGACTTCATGTCCATTTTAAATTTCTGCTGATAGCTGATTTCAGACCCTCTTTGGATTTGTTTGTCTTCAGAAACTGGCTTTTAAATTGTCGTGTGTGAAAGGAAGAGAGATGTAGTTGCACACACACAATTTAATTTTATGTAAACTATAATTTGTCAAAAGAAGAATGGATATGGACATAAACTTTGTTTAAACTCATAAGAAAAATGGAAGAAAATAAAATTCAATATGTATGCCCAACACTGCATCAGTTTCGCACCTGTACCATATTTCTGCATATACATTTTCAGGCATAATTTGAATCTCACAGCTTGAGTCTACAAAGTCAGCTTGAATTTTAGGTTTCATTTACATGGGCTTAAGCACAGAAATTACTGTCTATCTGTCTTCTTTCTGTCTCTCACTCCGTTCACACATACTGATGGTGAAATGGATTGCAGAAATTTATGAACAAAAATATCATGAACATTGGAATGGGTTACGCAATAAACTTTTAACTGGATAAATAGAAGTTTATTGTTGCTTCATTGCGTCTTTCAGCACTGAATTTGAGATTATGAAGCATGAATAAACATTGTAATTGCGAAGTTTCTAAACAGAAGCAGTTGAAGATTGATATTGAGGCTTGAGAGAATAGCTCTTTGATTTTGTCATAGAGGTGAATGAGCCTGTCAGGAAAAAATCTAACGGGATATATTCATTTAGGACTGAATTATTGATCATCAGAAGAAACCAAAATATTACCACATTCAAAGAGATATTTCTCAGTTTAATCTAATTGTCAGTGTACTGTCTATCAAAGGAAGAAGAATCCAGATAAAGGACAAAGTGAGTGCATTCCATTTGAGTGTAAGAAGTAGTGTGATTGACTGGAACAGTGAGGTTGATAAGTCTCCATCCATGGAGATGCTCACACCCTGAGTGGACATGGCCCTGAACAATGTGCTGCAGCCATCCATGCTCTGAGCAGGGGGTGGACTGGATGTTGATGTTCTCCCTAGGTGCCCTAGAGCCTTGGCAGCTCTAGGGGTTTCCTACCATGAGTTTCTCTTAGGGGCTACTCAACCCTGATGGATGCAAAATTAGCAAGCACCTGCAAAAATACCAACCATAAATGTGCTGTGCCTGTCATATTTTCCCATGTTCAAAGCAGGTATAGTGACACTAAGCCAGTTTGTGAAGTATGTCAAGAGCCAAGGACAGAGGAGATTCCCTGGGGGACTTTGTGCCTCGGTCTATAGCAGCGCTGGGCAGCAGCAAAAAAACAAACAAACAGTGGTGAGACATTGGCCCTACATTGTGTATGCTGCAGTGGCTTTCCAGATCTAGCCCCATGGACTAAGCGGCCTGACTTGTGCTATATGTATTGCTCAAGCACATAGTGCAATGTAGTGTTTTTCTGAAAGGAATCGAATTTGTGTGCTCCCCAAGCATTCTGTGATGTGAACCAAAGCATGGCAATAGGAGATGAGAGGGAGGTTCACATGTAAAGCACAGCTGGGATCATACACAAAAAAGCGGGTATACCTAATGAACACTAGAGATCATAATTCTTAAAAAACATCAAAAATGGACAAAGTACACTGTTGTTACATTGTTACTGTAACTATCTTAAGAATGATTATACAAGAGGTATTTTTGTCAATACATGGTTGATTCTGCCTAAAACACAATTTCAGCAGCACTGAAATTGTTCCAGAGAATGGGTTACATTTGATTAGTATGTTTGACAGAAAAGAGGAGTGTGTGAAGCTTTAGCAAAGTCAAAACGTTCCACTGCAGTATTTTTCTGAACATGGAAACATGTCATTTTCAGACTTTCTAAATGAAACTTTTCAACTTTTAATTCTGAAAGAGCACGCTCATTTAGATATATGATGTGAATTTTGAAAAATGGTTGAAGAGGAAAGGCTAAGTATACCAAAACAGAAGCAAGGATTTGGTCCACACCACTTAACAATTGCCTGTGTTTGTTCAGTTCTATAAAACACAGAAGCGAGTTCTGTAGGCAAGAACACTGTTTATCTAAGTAAATTTTATCAATCATTTTCTATCTTCATTTCTGAAGAGGAAAGAAATACCAGATATAAGAATACTGCCTACCTTTGTGGCACAGATTTTTGTCCATATGCTTATAGAGGTAATTGTGGCTTCTCTGCTCTTGTGCAGGAGAGGTTTCCAGGAATGTCACTGCATTTAGTTGTGTCTTGTATATATTCTCGTAGCATAGCTTTTACAGTTGCTTTCTGGATGTTGTTTTTTTCTCAGAGGATATGTTACATTGGCAGCTACAGACCTCTCAACCTTGAATTTAGTTCCGCTTTCATTTTAAATATGATAAGGCCAATTCCAAATGACGGCTTGTAACAAAACAGGATTAATTCCCTACCATCCCTTTTTCATGTGTTGCTGTTAAGCTGTTCCTGGCTGAAAACTTCACCAGTGAACAAATCCACTTCCTGCACCAGTCTGGATGCTGCATGCTGTGTGGGGCAGCTTTCCTGCAGTTCAAATGCGGCTTTTGGCCATTTTCCCCTTATCCTGCCCTGCCACCTGCTCAAAAGCTGGGTACGAGAGCTGGGTTACGGCCAGTACTGTGCCATGAATCCATCATGCTACACAGGCCCTCCTTGCAGTGAGCTGATGCCGTTACCTTTGCCCATGATGAAACCCAAAGTACTCCCTGGCACTGGGTTGGATGGAGGATATGGAGGGAAGATATTTGCAGTTACATCCTTCCTGTGTAGCTACATGGGTTGCATTGCTGCAACCTCTCTTGGGCATGCCTAAGACTTTCAGAAATACATAGAAGAAGAGAGCTCCCTAAAAATGCCAACAAAATGTCAAAGAAATTCATGCCTGCATCTTGCTTATCTCATAGATCACTCAGCTTATCTGGAAATGGAGAGCCTGGGTATCCAAGCGTGGCATGTTTCATCCTGCCATGGATGAGAAAATACTGCAGTTCACCTGGTGCTCTAATATACGTCATGCGTGTTGCAGCAGAGCTGCTGAGCAGACATGAGCCGAATGGGTCTGGGGATGGTCCTGAGAGAAAAGAAAAAAAGAAAAAAAAGCAGCTTGCTTTGTTTCTGCTTCCCTGTCTTCCACTTTCTTCATTCCCTACCTCCCTCTCTCCCATATCTCTGTTGCCCTTCCTCCAAATTGAGTGCAGTACAAAACAAATGCCACTGCTGACAAAAATGTACTGGTGCTGGCTCTGATTTCTGTCAACTCCTACTCACTTCAGTGTAAAGCATGTTCAAGTATAGAGTTCAGGCACTTAGAACACGCACAGAGTTTAGGGCTTTTTGTCTGTCAGAATGTGGCTCTTGGAAATGGTTCACTGTTCCGATTTCTGCCTTTCCCCATTTATATACTGGATGTATGTAAGGGGTGAGGGAGGGGGCAAAGGGAAGATTACATGCTGTCTGGGTTTCACTTGGTTCTATGCAAGACTGGGTTTTAGGTCAAAGAACTCTTGGAGCTTGCCCTGTCTGTCACTATTCACATGCGAGTGTTTGTGTGGGGAAAAGCTTTTTTGTTTGTTTGTTTTATTTTGGGATTTTGCCAGGATTTTAAGTGTGGTCAATCTTGTGTCAGAACAGAACCTGAATGGTGCTGTTGCAGAGCTCTGAAAACCTGGGGAGTCACAAAGGAAGATCTCATTTTCAGGTAGGCATTTAGGAGAAGTTTGCCTTATTGTTTAGTCAGTGACATTGTGGCCATGGAGGGGCATGGCAGAGAGCTTTTTAATATGCATGTGTTTCAATGACCAAATACTGTGAATTCAGTGTAGCTGAATGTAGGACTCTCATGGCAGAAGACTGGGGAGCAAGACATCAGGAGCATAGAATCATAAAATCATAGAATGGTTTGTGTTGGAAGAGATCCTAAAAGGCCATCTAATCCAACTCCCCTGCAGCTGAACACCAACAGCCCCATCAGGGTCCTCAGATCTCTGTCCAGCCTGACCTTGAATGTCTCCAGGAACGGGACATCGGCCACCTCCCTGGGCAACCTGTACCAGTGCTTCATTACCCTTGTCTTAAAAAGGAGAAAGACGTCAAGAAAAACAGATAGATAGTTACAACCCAAATTCCCCATTGATACACTGTGGGAAATAGTAAAAAAGTTTATAGTGAGTGAAACTGACTCAGAAATTCCTTCCTCTGGTTGTTTTTCCTCCGTTGCTCAAAAGAGGCTGGAAAAATGGCCCATAATATTATGGTCCTCCTCAGTGCTCACTGTTGTGAGGATGTGGTAACAACACCGTGGGTCAGCCTGTCACCAGGGCTTATCTGCACCGTGCATAGCTACTTCTCCCAGGCTGGAACGTAAGTGCAAGCCAATGCCGATAAGGTGGAAAAGCCCAGAAGTTAGCATCAAGTGTCCTCTTTCATTTCAACTTCTCTCCAGGTTGCCATGCACTGAATTGTCTGTTTATTTGCCCCTGGAGCACTTAGTTCCAGAGTATGTGATTACACACTATTTTTTTGGCCCTGTTTGGAGACAGAATGTGGGTGTGTTCATTCTAGTAGCTTTAGGGTGAAAAAAAAGCAGAAGAAGTACAGTCTCTCTGTTGTTGGGAGGAAGGTGAATGGTAATTCTGTTATTACAAGAGACTCAGTTCTGGGGTTTGCTGTCTCCATGCATGGGCATGCACAAGGGGAAGAACGGGGAAAGGAGTAAAGGCAAACACAGAAGTACTGAATGTGTTTAAATGTTTAATCTTATTTTTCACGGCAGTCTTCTTCATTTCATGGGAAGATTTAGGTTGAGTATCAGGGGGAAGTTCTTTACAGGGAGAGCGGTGAGGTGCTGGAACAGGCTGCCCAGAGAGGTTGTGGATGCCCCGTCCCTGGAGGTGTTCAAGGCCAGGTTGGATGGGGCCCTGGGCAGCCTGGTTTAGTATGAAATGTGGCCCTGCCTGTGGGAGGGGGGTTGGAGCTTCACAATCCTTGAGGTCCCTTTCAACCCAATTCATTTTATGATTCTATGATATGATTTCACAGAGGATCTAGCCAATTGTATGTTCAAGGGTAATTCATCCATAAAGAGAACCTATCTCAGTGGCAGCTGGTAGTAATTTCTGAGCACACCACAGTGTTTTTCAAGTTGTTACATTTTTGGGGTGGAAGGGAAAGTGGTAGTGAGCGTGGTGTTTAAAACTCTCAGAAGTGTACTGACTGCAAGAGGATAATCTCCTGGCATGCAGGTAACAGCAGATGTGACACCCAGTAACGTGGTCATGATGGAACAATTTCCTTTAAAAATGTAAGACCAAAATATTTCCAGATCCTGTTGGAACCAGCATCTAGGTGAGCAGCAAAGAGGAAAGCTTAATTTTCATACTTGGCTGGAGCAGCTCTAAGTATCTGGTAGCAGTTTCCTCACTCCTTACCTCATGACTTATTCCCGTAGGAAGACCTGGAAAGCATGCAGTGGGGAAGGTGTTTATAATTCACTGCTCAGCCCACACGAATATCCATAGATTAGCAGAAGCCATAAAACCAGAGGCGCGGTCATTTTCCTCTCCTGCCTTCTTTTAGCCAAGCTTGAGTCTTTCCAGTTCTGACATCTGAGATCATATCACTTTTTCTGACGGCTGTCCCTAGAAAGAAAGGGAGCTCTTTTCTCTGCTTTCCCAGAAGCCAAAAGAGAAAGACAAGAAAATGGGATAAATACAGCTTCTCCCTAGTTTTGCTCTCAAGGTTGAGGTAGGCCCCGTCTCCTGGCAAGTTTACAGCCTGTATTACCACTCACTGCCCCTCTCCCTCCAGCTGACTGTGTGTGCCCTGAGGACTGACAGTTTCCTCCACATTCTGTGATCTTATCTGTGGAATGGGGAATGTTTTCTCTTACTGAGTTGGGTTGCTCTGGGTTTTTGGTTTTTTTTTTTGCTACCAGAGCACGTTACCTGAGGGGATCAGATTAAGTAGCATCACTAATGGCATTTTTGCTTCGTCTTTATTTTCTCTGATTCTCTATTTTCTCCTTTATATACACACTTTAGACACAATACTCAGCAACACTGAAAGCAATTTCAGAGTGCTGGGAGAACAAGCACACCACAGGAACCTTTGTGCAAATTAGCAAAGGTTGAGGAAGGAGAGTGGAGAAGAGCAGCTGTTACCAAAACCAGAATAGGCCACAGAACATAGCTGACACTTTCTGTAAAAGAAACAGGACAGTGCACAGATAAGCTTCCATAATCATCAAGAACCAAAAAGGAAGAGATCCTGAATTCACAAGTTAAATTTTGGAGAATTGCATCATTTCCTATTGGCTTAAACCATATTTGGTTTAAGCAAGACTGGGTTGAGGGAGAAAAAATATGTCTTGGAGATATGCTATGATTATTTTCCAGTGTGACCACTTTGCAAGATCTTGAAGATTTTTCCTATCTAAGAGGAAGAGAAATCTTCAGGAGTGGGATAACAGCTACAGAATCATCAAGATGACTGGCTGTTGTTTCATGACTTTGGCTGTAGGGAGTTCCTACATATCTGCACTTGTCTGGATGTGCATGGTATCCATCAGTATAAACCTCTCAGCCCTGCTTCAAGGTGCGTGGGATCAGCCATGGACACAGAGGTCATTCCAGTGAAATCAGTCAAACTACTAATGTACCTCAAGTTACGCATACTCTTAAATGCTTCATTGAATATGGGCCAGACTGCATATAAGAACAGTCTATTGCTCTCATCTTTTGGCCAGAAAAATGCACTGAGGAAAAAAAAAGAAACCTGAAGGACTTTCCTCCATTTTTGTAAAGCAAAGAGGAAAAGCTTCTTCCCCACTTCCCTCCAATAAATATAATACTACATCATTAGAGGAAATTTGTATTCATATGCAAATACAAGAGGAATAGCTGGAGGGCAGTAACATGCCTGCTAGCATGGTCATGTATCTCAGAGAAATTCTGTGGTAAGGAGGTGATTATCCAGGTGCAGAGCAAATTATAGACTAAGATAAAAATTCTACAATTCTTGCTTTAGTGCTACAAATATCACATTTTGTGTTGTATCATAAGTCAGTGAAAAGAAGTTAGGTAGTAAAGCATTCCTGTTTTTTTAATAGTTGTGAGAGATCTTGTGTTTCATATGGAAGAGGTAAGGAGATATGGTTAGGGGGTTTTTTTGGTTTTATTTTGAGGTGAAACTTGATGAGCTCAACCTAAGTACTCTTGTATGGCTTTCCATGCTCAATGGTGCACAGCAGAGACATAACATCCAAAGGGTCTTTTCAGAACTGTGAGCTTCGTACATCTTCAGCCCCATTTGTCTGTTGGTAGAATCTCATTTTTCTTTGTTACCTACTCTATGATTCATCTTGAGTGCTTTTATGCTTTTGAGTCTTCATGCCCTTCCTGCATCCCATAAAACTTCTAAGTAACTTCCATCCCTTCCAAAACTTTTGGGGTTTGTACTAAAATTGTGGGTTTTTTTTCTACTTCTGGTTTCTCAGCTTCTGTTTTGCTGCTTGCTCAGTGATCTACCTATGGGATTGCCCAGAGAGCAACTGTAGTTTTTATTTCAGTCTTGAGCTGTCTGTAAATGAAGGACTAGCTTCTTGCTTGTTTAATGTCTAAACTGAAGATGAAGGAATGGATATTTTGGTTTTTTGTGCTTCTTTTTTTTTAAATCGATGGAAAAGATCACTTCTTTTTGCTTGCGTTGGTAAAGCAATGCCTTTGTTCCTCTCTTGAGTGAAGATGAGCAACAGGGGGCGTAGCAGCTAGAGGGTTAGTGGGTTACTGTAAACTTCCAGATTTTTATAGTGGAGTTATTTATGGATTTATTAGGGAAGGTCTTTGCATTACAGTAGTCTTCATTTCTGAAGTGGCTGCTCCTGTCCATGTTAACACGTCAGACACTTAATCATAAATCATAAAATGGTGCAGAGCTCTCTCTAAAGTTTTGGTTGCCCATTTTCAGCTGGCACTGCAGAGGTGTCTGCAGCAGCTACTCTGCTATGACATGGCACAGCTGCTTCTTTAAGATTCCTTTTACCTGCTAATTCTCCAGTTCTTCAGTTCAAATACAAACTTCTCACAGAAGCCCTTACTACATCACATTCTTTTCTCCATTTGTTGGTTGCTGTTGTTTTCCTTCTTCACCTTCCCTAACAAGTAAGCTTCAAATCCCTGAATGCATTGATTTGATGAGGTGACTGCCCAGTGATGTCACTAATGATATCACTGATGCAATACAGATATGAAATGCATAAAATATGTTTCTCTGGCAAATGCAAAGACTTGCCCTGAGGAATATGCTATGTTGACACAACTAAAGGATGGAGCACTTAAAGAAGCACTGAACCTAAACAACCCAGAGATAAAGCTGTGGAGTTAATATGCATCTTGTGTAGTTTGCATTGAGCGTATTGAATTTCTTGTCTGTTTTGTTCATCCATCTTGGAGAGAGAGATGAAAATGCATAGTCTTTTGGGATACGCAATCATGAAAGAACTGAGCAAAGGAAGGACACGGTGCGACACACTGGGCCGAAGAGTTCATCTCGAGTAGGAGTGGTGATGAAGAGCAGCATCCAGAGTGGAGGGAAAGAGTCAAAAAGGAAGGCAGATAGAGTTGGGAATTATGTTACAACACTGAGCAGAGGTTGGTCATCTTTACTTTATTCTCATTTCTTCTCCAGTCTTTTAGTCCATCT